ATAAGAATGGTCGGTCTTTCGTTAGGTATATATAAATTATTTAAAGCTATTAAATGCTATTAAAATTAAATTCGTCCAAACATTTATTGATTATTTCCATTTGATTATTTGAAAAGACCGTCCGGAACTGAAGATGTAGTACGTGTTTATGCTGAAGCATCTACGCGTGAAGATTGTGATGAGTTAGCATTTAAAGTTGCAGGACTTGTTTATGATGAAGCTGGTGGTACTGGAGGAAGACCTTCCGAGTTTTTGTAAAAGTAGACGTGAATAAATTAGATTAATTATATTTATATTTATTTATTTTTTTTCCTTTTAGACAATAATTATATAATTTAAACTCTTTGTTAAATTATATGCATTTTTGTTTTAACCAAATTTTATAAAATTTTTAATAGACTCTAAAATGCTGCTCTTAAATTCTTAATTGCATAAAGGATTTCGAAAAGTTTTCGATCTTTAAATACTTGAATACTTTAAATACTTTAACAGTAAAATTAGGATTCAATGTATTGAACTTGTTCAGCGAAGAAACATTGCGTCTTCATTTTGTTCATGTATCGTACTGGAAACATCCATGTGTAGATAAAAAGGACACTAAAAGTTTAGAGTGTAAAATCGATATAATAATTTTCTTAAAATACGCCTTATTATTGCTTCTGTAGTACTTGTGCAAAATGAAAAAAAAAACCGATTTTTTTTTCTTTTATATTATTATTTATTATTATTAGACAAGAAAATCTGTAATAATCAATCGTTTTTTTTTTAACTTTCACAGCTCATATTTCGATGAATTTTAAATCTATTTTAATGAGTTAAAAGTAAAAAAAAAAAAAAAAAAAATAGGTAGATTAAACGGTGGCCCATGCACTATGTGCCCCTCTAATATCTCGAAATTTTACTATGCTAACACCCGCCGTGCAACTAAGCAAAAATGTTCGGACGAATTTAATTTTAATAGCATTTAATAGCTTTAAATAATTTATATATACCTAACGAAAGACCGACCATTCTTAT